AATAGATGAGAGAACAAAATGCCAAAAGGGTAACAACAACCCCAGAAAAATATACACTAAACAAATCAGAAGAGACCTGAAACTGGGGGAAAAGAAAAAAAAAAAAAAGAATATGATCAGGCTGGTGAATAGAACAGAGCCACACATTAGATTTTGGATGTATTTTGGTCTGTTAGAAGAAACTGTCTTTCAAAATTTTAAAGAAAGAAAAACTTATTTATATACAAAAAATAAGGTTAAATACAATGAAGGGGTAGAATATGACTATAAAAAATGAAAATTAAAAAAGATTTTAAAAAAGGAATTGATAAGATGTTGGCTGAAAAAGGTAAGAAGAAAAATTTAAAAAACCATAGAAAAAAAAAAGTTAAAAAAATTAACTTTGAAAGACTAAAGAATCATGGGGAAAAAGCCATGAATTCTATGTGTTGTATTCCCCTAGTGCTGGAATTTTGAAGTTCTCATTGATCAGTAAACTTGGTCTTGGCTGGATGTTCTTGCTGGTCTTCTGGGGGAGGGGTATGTTGCAGTGATTCTCAGGTGTCCTTGCCCAAGGTGGAACTGCACCGCCCTTGCCAGGGGCCAGGCTAAGTAATCTGCTCAGGTTTGCTCTCAGTAGCTTTTGTTCCCTGAATGCTTTCCGTACAGCTTTGGAGGACAAGAATGAAAATGGCGGCCTCCAATCTCTGGCCCCGAGGAGCTGAGAACTTGGGGCCCCACTCCTCAATGAGCCCTCAGAGAAAAGCAGTCAACCACTCCTGTCTCCCTGGTCTCTGGCTACACTCCGTGCTCACCCGGCTTGTGACCGAGCATTTCTGTTTCTGGTACATTACCCCATTTGGAGTCTCCAAACCTAGCAGATTCTGGTGGTGCGCTCCCATGCCGCTCCTCCCGGGGGAGGAAGGGGAGTCCCTGGATCTGCTACTTGTTGGGTCCCTGCTCGAAGAACAGTGGCCCAACTGTGCCATGGATCACGGTTTATGGCAACCCCGAGCTGAGAGCCTGAAGTTTGGAATTGTGTTGTCTCTGATATTTGAATTATTGTGTATCATGATGTGGACCTTCTTGAGTTCATCTTGTTTGGAATTCTCTGTTTCCTGAACTTGGATGTATGTTTTCTTCCCCTGGTTAGGAAAGTTTTCAGTTATTATTTCTTCAAGTAAGTTTTCTGTCCCTTTGTTTCTCTCTTCTCCTTCTGGGATGCCTGCAATGTTGAATGTTTGTTCACTTGATATTGTCCAAGAGATAACTTAACCTATCTTCATTTTTTTTAAAAAAAATTCTTTTTGCTGTTTAGCTTGGATGCTTTCTATAACCCTGTCTTCCCAATCACTGATTCATTCTTCTGCATGTTTTAGTCTACTGTTGATTCTCTCTAGTGTAGTTTTCATTTCAGTTATTGTAGTCTCCAACCCTGAGTGGCTCTTTTTTACATTTTCTATCTCAGCTACTTCTCCTAAACTTAAAGGAGTGGTGTTTATCTTGTTCGTCATTCTCTATGTGTTCTCCCTTTTGTTTGCAGAAGCTGTTCAGTCAGCCTTCAGTTCTTCTTCAGGAGGAAATGCTCCATAAATAGGCATAGATTTGTTGTGTTTGTGGAGAAGATGAGTCCAGGCTCTTTGTACCAAGATGGTACGTCACCATCTTGGACTGGAACTCAGCATTTTGTATGTTAATCAAACTTCAATAGAGTAGTTTAAAAAACATATGGATATTGCCTAGTTGATACTGTTTTTTTCAAATATGATAAACTATGGAAACATCCAGAAAAATGTTTGAATTTACTATTTGCATTGGAATAAAACTGATACCTTATAAGTCTTAATGTTATACATTAAAATAGAATTCATTAACAAGAAAAAAGATAAGTGGTGTGGCTATAGTAACATCAGTCAAAGTACATTTAAGAGAAGAATAATGCTAAGGATAAAGTGTATCATTTTATAATGATAAAGGGATCAACTTTTCAAGAAGACATAATTCTCCTAAACATTTATGCACCCAATAACAGATTCAAAAATATGTTGCCAAAAAGCTGGAGAGAAAAATAGAAAAATGCAGTTATTTTTAAAGACTTCAATATTTTTCTTTCAATAATTGTTAGAATATTTAGAATAATTAAGGATATAGAATATTTGATAAACTACCAACTAACTTAATTAACATTTATGTATCACCCCAGGAACCAACAGCAGATTACACATTATTTTCAAGTCTGCATGTAACATGTAGTTAGACAGATGACTGATTGAGCCATAAAACAAGAATCAATAAATTTAAAAGGATTTGTCATACAAAGTATCTTCTCTTACCAGAATCAGAATTAAATTAGAAATTAGTAACAAAAAGATCTCTGGAAAATCCCCAAGTAATTGCAAACTAAATAATACAAGTTGTACAAAAGCTCTTCTGGAAAAGTAAAGAGGAAATACTTCCCAACTCACTCTATGAGGCTAGTATTATCCCGATATCAAAACTAGAAAAATGACTTACAAAAAAATGAAAGCAACAGACCAATATCCATCATTAACCTAAGTAAAAAAATTCTAAACCAAATTGAAGAAAAGTCATTCCATAAAAATGGATGATACACAGTTTCACTTCTGGGAAATCAGCATGAAAAGTGGGTCCACAGACCTACTTCCCAGTGAAACAAGAAAAGCTGTGAAAATTAAAAAACAAAACAACAAAAAATCACGTATAATCTTCAGGAATTGTCGTAAGGGAATACAGCAAATGAAGAAACATTTATTCAAGGAAATCTACTACAACTTGGTAAATAACAGACTTGCTGTTTTTAACATCCTAGTCTAGTTTGTCATTCTTGGAATTATTCTAGTTTACTCCTCTTCCTTCAATGTCCACCCATCCCCAGTATTCTCAGTTCTGTTGGAAATCTCTTGGATCTGTCCATTTCTCTTTATATATACTTCCACAACCCTTATCCAATTCTTATTTCTTAAAAAAGTACCATCCAGTCTTTTTTCCCACTCTTCTCATTCTCAACTCCCCACCCTTCAATACCCTGTTTTCCATACTGTAGCCAAAATGATCTTTAAAACACATATATTATATTCCTCTAGTGCTTTGAACCAATCAATGGCTTCCCAATGAAGCCATTTACTATCATTCTTTTGCCTCCAAATATATTGGTCTTCTTTTTATTCCTCAAACACATGAAGATCTTTCTCACCTCAGGTTCGTTGAATTTGCTATTTGCCTACTGTGGGTATTCTTCTCTTACTTAGCTTTTCAAAAAATTAGCTCTACTCATTCTTCAGATCTCAGCTCAAAGGTCATCTCCTCAGAGAGATTTCCCTTTAACTACATTTAGTGTCATCCTCTCCACTTACACTCAGATGTTACTACTGTATCAAGTTTATTTTCTTCACAGAATTTATTATAAAATTGAAATATCACTTGTTGCCAAGCCTATCAGAGGAGATTAGAAGCATAATGAATGAAGTAAATACTATATTGTAAAGATATATCTATACATTTTTTGAATGTCACTTAAATTAGAATTATACTGATTATGACACATTCATTATTAAGCATCCTATTTGTTTTCTAAAAATGGCCAGTTACAAACCCAGGGCACAGTATATGGCTTTCAGTCTTTGCAGGAAAAAGAGACCTTTGAAACAAATACCTTGTGCAAATGTTTGATCTGGATATCTGCCACCAAACTAGTAGGTTCAGCCTCAAAATACTTGTTTAGAGTTTCCCCACAGCTTTTCATTTCTTCTTTTTTCCTAATTTTTGGTTCACCAAACCAGTATGAGCGCTACAAAGAAAGCCAAAATGTAATTACCAAGATGAGCTTTCAGAAATAAAGCATTCCATCTGAACAGATCTATAATTAATAAAGTGACTGACTTAGTAATCCAGACCTGCCTACAAAGAAAAGTGCAGGACCAGATATCTTCACTGGTACCAAACATTTAAACAAGAATTAACAAAAATTGTTCTCCAAGCCTTCCAAAAAGAGAAAGGAACACTTCCTAACTCATTCTATGAGCTCAGCATTACTTGAAAGGCAAATGCCAAAGTCAAAAACATCACAAGGAAAATAAACTACAGACCAATATCCCTTACTAATATAGATTTTAAAATCTTCAAAAAATACTTGTAAACTAAATCTAATAGCATATCAAAAGGAATATTCATCAGTGCTGACATGCTCTTTTCTGGCTGCTTTCCTTTCCTGCCTCATTTTCCCTCTCTCTAACCCTTCCAAATAAATTCCAAACCCTGTGAAAGACAGTATTTTTAATACAGCAATACTACTTAAAGCAATCAATAGATTCATTGTAATTACTATAAATATTCTAATGGTTACTTTTACAGATATAGAAAAGCTGATTCTCAAGTTCTTATGGAACTTCCAGGACCCCCTAATAGCCAAAACAGTCTTGAAAAAGAAGAGAAAAAGCTGGATGACTCACACCTTCAGATTTTAAAACTTACTATAAAACTATAGTAATCAAACAGTGTGGCATTGACATAAGAATAGACATATAGGTCAATGGAATGAAATTGAGGATCCAAAGATGAAACCATACGTTTACGGCCAACTGATTTTCAACAAGGGTGCTAAGACCATTCAATGGGGGAAAGAACAGTCTTTTCAAAGAATGGTATTGGGACAAAAGGATATCCACATTCAAAAGAGTGAAGTTGAATCCCTACCTCATACTATATAAAAATCAACTCAAAATTGATCAGTGATCTAAATTTAACAGATAAAACCATCAAATTCTTTTTTTTAAATCATCAAATTCTTAGAAGAAAACACAGGGGTAAATTTTCATGACTTCGGATTTGACAATAACTTCTTAGATATGACATAAAATTCACAACCAACAAAAACTTTTTAAATTGGTTTTAATCAAAGTTAAAAATTATTGCACATGAAAGAGTACTATGAAGAGGGTGAAAAGATAACCCAGAGAATGGAATAAAATATTTGCAAATCATGTATCTGATAAGGCTCTACTGTCCAGAATATATAAAAAAAAGTCACAGAGCTTGAATAGACATTTCTGTCCAATGGCCAACAAAAAAGCCCATGAAAATATCTCAACATGATTAGTTATTAGGGAAATGCTTATCAAAACCATGAGACCACTTTATACCCACGAGGATGGCTATAATAAAGGGAAAAGAATAACAAGGGTTTTGAGGCTGTGGAGAAACTGGAACACTGGTACATTGCTTGTGGGAATGTACAAATGGTGCAGTCACTGCAGAAAACAGTATAGTGGTTCCTGAAAACATGAAACAGAATTATCCTAAGTACTAGCAATTCTACACCTAGGTATATTCCCAAACGAATTGAAACAGGTACTCAACCAAATACTTATAAACAAATATTCATAGGAGCACTATTCAAACAGCCAAAAGATGTCCTACATTTCTAACTACAGGTTGATAAAGGAATTGCCCTATATACATACAATGGAATATTATTCAGTAATCAAAAAGAATGAAGTGCTGATACATATTAATGGATAAACTTTAAAAACATTATGTTAAGTGAAAGAAGCCAGATAGTCACATATTTTATGATTCTATTTATATGAAACATCCAGAATAGTAAGTCCATAGAAAAAGAAAGCTGATTAGTGGTTGCTAGGGGCTTGGGATAGGGAAAAATGGGATGTGACTTCTTAATGGGTATAAGGTTTTATTTTTGGGTAATAAATATTTTGGAACTAGATATGTGCAAGTACATTGTAAATGTACTAAATTCCACTTTTTTTCCCACTTCAAATGGTTAATTTTAACATATGAATTTCATTGGTATTAAACATTTTAATGTGAAAAAAGAAATGAAATACTATAAGAACCTTAAAACACTTTGGCTTGGTTTACTCTGTGGCTATTGCATACTTTAAGGGATTGAACTTTGCAGCAAAATTATGTATGATTTATATCTCTAGGATTTAGAAGCAAAAATCGTTTTGAAATGTTAGTGTTCAGGAAGTAGGGACAAAATGGAATTACTCAGCAATGAAGTCACAGCCAATGCATTTTATCACACTCAGAATACTTTCTTTGTACTATACAGTAGAAGCTCTTCCACTCTAAGTAAACTGGTCTAGTCCTTGAAAGTAAACAGGTGGTGGGAACGGAGATACGGGAAATACCCAATCCTCTACTCACTAGGATCTAAGAAATCATCACATATTATTGACCTGGGAACAACTTCTGCAGACTTTCAAGTTTATCCTCTAATCTAATCCACTATGTATCATGTGGCTGAAGAAGAGTTCTATTACTCACAGTTTTTAAATGTATGGGGTTTCAGTGTCTTATCCACAGATATTGTGCATTTGTGTATATGGAAGGCTTTAAGAGATCAAGAAACGGCTAGCATTTTCATATGGCTGGTATGCACAGGAAAATGATTCTGCATCTGAACTTTTGATTTGAATATAAATATTATATGAAATAGGCTCATAAGGACTATGGCTTTTTGCAATAACAGCAGCATTAGTACTCACCATAAGAAAAAAGTACCATGGTTGGGGCATGCCATACTGCCCTGGAAAGACAGTTTCTATATACCAGGTCACAAGGCCATATAAGAAAGCATCAAGTAAAAGCATTAACAAAATATAGCCAAACATGAGATTATCCTCAAGGTTGACTGGTGTCCAAATGTTATCCCATCTAATACCAATTTCTGAAATAAAAAGGAGATACCTTAGATGACAGCTCTGTGAAACAGCAAAGAAAAAAGGTTGATACTCTAAATCCTGTCACTGTGAATTATCTATATGTTAATACCCTTATTATTTAAGTCATCTAAGAAAATGATGGAATATGTAGTAATACTGGGTTCTTCTGACCTCCCTTCAGAATCTACAAAAATAAATAGGAACGACTGAGACAAGGTCAATGAATGAAAAATAATAACAAAAAAGGCAAGAAAAAAGCAAGCCAATTAGATCCATTTTTCTCTCCCTTCATACTAAATTCACATTTAAACTACCATCAGGGTACACAAATCTGGAAAAATATTCAACAGCACTAGAGATGGATGCTGACCATAGAGCAGAATAAAACGAGGTTTTGCTTAAATATAGGTCTGGGGCACCTGGGTAGCTCAGTTGGTTAAGTGTCAAACTCTTGATTTTGGCTCAGGTCATGATCTCAGGGTCATGAGATCAAGCCCCGCATTGGGTTCCGTGCTGGGTGTGGAGCCTGCTTGAGATTCTCTCTCTCCCTCTTCCTCTGCTCTTCTTCCCCTGCTCACACACATGCACACACACACACACAC